GAAGTTTAAGATAAGGGTGGTCTACTCCAAGTAGTTGGGATTAAGACGAGAAAAAAGAAGAAGAATTTTTATTTAACATGTATGTAATTGCAAATACATTTTTTTTTAGAATTTGTATAATTAAATTGTTTATATAATTTTGGCGAATTGATTAAACTTTACATTTAATTCTCATCAAGTAAATTAAATAAACAAATTTTAAATGTATGTGTTAGTAATTAATTATTGTTATTAAAAAGTAATATATTAATTAAAAATCAATATTTTAATATTAAAAATCAAGTTGTATAAATTTAATATTCAAAATATTTATTTATGTTATGACAATAATTTGTAAACAATCGTGGAACATATACGTTCTTCGAACAATACCTAGAAGGCTGTATACCTAATTGAACAATAGAATCTGTTCAACGAACGTATACGTTCGACGAACGGACGATTCAAAAATAGGCCCCCAGAACTGTCGAGATAAGGATCTGGAAAATCAATTACGGTATAAGTCTTTCGAATATCTGACGTCAATTGCGTGTTCAGAATCAGTCATGTTATGCGTGATAAAATAATAGGTTCATAAAATGTTTGTGATTGTATGATGTGTTTGAGTTATAAGGCATACGCGACAGAGTCTTTAACGGCAGACGCATTAGTTATTACCGAAATTCGTGAGCCGGTATCTATTAAAGCACGAATCACCATCATTAACACGTAGTCGCACAATAGCTGTACCGAGTACAATTTTGTTGGTAAAACGTGGAACTCCAGAAAATGACGTATGGTTTGTGCTAACAATGACATCCGCACTAACACTGCGAAGTTTCTGGTATTACTGCTTTTTGTGGATGATGTCTGCGAAGGTGCTCCGAAATGTAATAAAGAATGATGTTTGGTGGAACAATGACAACAAGTATTCGTAATATTGAATTCGGCCGTTTTATGAAATTAACTTAAACAGTTCATACCCATTACATTATCACGTGCGAATTCAAATCTTTATTTGACTGGTTTCTGCGTGAATTTTGAATATTGAAATAGCAAGTGATTCTCTTTACTCAATATACAGTAGGACTACTAGATGTAGAGAGCGCTACGAAAGAAGACTTTTGTTTGACATTATTTTTATTACTATTCAAGTTTTTTTATTGTAAATATCGTACTATTGGAGTATTTTGTAACACTTAATAAATTTTTACGAAATTTAATAGCAAGTCTAAAGGGTTTATCGACTTTCTGAAATTCATACTCAAAGGCACGTTTCGTCTATACACCACGACGAGATATAAAAAAAGTAAAAAATCTGACAAGTAATTTACTTCCAATGCTTTTATTGCACCTGCTTTTTCTTGAAATATACTCTAAAATTGTCGTAAATTAGTTAAATTCTCCGAAGTTAACGAGATAAAACGATATATAGCGTCTAAGTATTCCTTTATTAATTCGCGTTTATTATCAAAACGTTCGTGTAAGGCCTTTCATACAACCTTATAATTAGCTTCCATCAAAGGTACTAAACGTGCAATGAAGTCAGCAGAAACAGTAACAGCGGTCATTAAGCAATGGAACTTTTGATAATTGTTCGTATTATGAACTGCAGAAGTAAATGTATGGCGAAAATAACGTTATTTAAAAATATCACTATTGAAAGTCGGCAATTGTAATTTTGATAAATATGTAAAATGATTAGATGCTGCATTGATATTTTTTTTTTTATCATTAATTCCCAAAGCTATTGATCGATGCCTTTATCAAATAATAATTATCTAACACTTGTTTACTAATGGAGGGGTGTGTTTTAGCGTATTCATCTTTACGTTAAAATACAATAAGATTAGTCAAAATCTCATAATGTTCAATTCGAAAATCCGTCATAAAAATTTCAATGTCTTAAATGCGCCTTTGAAGAACAAGTTAAGCATCCATATTATTTTCAGCTTCATTGACTAAGTTTAACAGCATTGATGAAGATCAAACAGTAGTGATCACAATAATAGCCCGGTAAAAATTGTTTACTTAAATCTTTATTATTGAATATTAACTATGCATACAACTGTGTATACTATAAACACTATTAAAATTCGATAGCAGTACAATCAATTATATACAAGTTGACACATATAATTATGCACAAAAAAAGTATTTTCATGGTCACGCCGATAAGTAACCTTGCGTTTGTTACGTCACTATTTAGGAGTTGAGCCTAAATGCCCGTCAACAGTATTCTAAGGGACCAACGGGGGATAGCTGGCTAAGCTATATCTACCTTAGGTACTGAGGTTTTCTATTTAATTTATATTCCCTTAGAGGAACTACCAAGGGTCGCACTACAATATATATATAACACTCTTGGTTAACAACGATATAAATATTTATTAAGTGATTGAAATATTAAATAAATAATACAACCTGCTGGACACCCAGAGATGATATAATCCAACAGAGAGCTGAAGGCGACACACACACACACTATATACGTGGTAGAAAAGTTAAGTTAATTATAAGATGACACGGCACCGCCCATCGCTCTAGGCTGGCGCTCACTCGTGTCTCTTGCGATATCAGCCGTCCAGTTATTAATATGACAATCGGTTGTCTCCCCGCCCTTGACACCGAGATAAGGCCGCCGCCGAGTATGTTTTACGGATATTGCGTTCTGTTCCGTTTTCGACGTATACCTAAATGGTTACACGACTCCGTTTTGCGCTCCCTGTTTTTCTTTCTGCCTTTTGGTTTGTTTTATTTTACAACGTTTGGCGTCGGCTGTACCGGCACCTTGACTTATCCTAGATCTTAGACGGATACTCATAGGATACTACAGTGCGGTGTCACTAGTGTTGGCGTTATATTAAAACCCGCCAGAGCGAACTATATCTATATATATATATATATATATATATATAATATTATTTAATCATCAGTGCGGCTTTGCATTAGTCTTATTTTTGTGTTTACTACAAATCAACTGTGCGGCCAACTTTTTCTTTTTGGATTACGCGTCAAAGACAAGAGTAGTGGTCGCGATGATGACAAAAGGTCAACTGTCGATAGGGATATCTTATTATGGCACATTGGCCGTGAATTGCAAAAGTGTTTATGTGTGCAGTGCGCCCTCCTGTTGGTATTGTTGTATGTCACTATGTGAATTATATATATATATGCGTCCAATAAACGGTACAGTGATGATATGGGAGACAGAGATATGGGCACATGCAAATGTGATCGTATCACGTTTTTCCAATAACGTTAAGTATTTTATGATCAGAAATTAAAAAAAAAGTTTGAGAAGTTTTCAAGGCTGAATGCAAATTTTATTATTTTTTTTCAACGTGTTTCTATAAAAAGGGAGTAAGGATGATTAAATTTTTATTTAAGTTAATTTTTTGTGTACCATACCAATTTGTATGTTTTTGAAGTTACTAAATTATAACTCTCATCTACATATTATTATCAATTTTTTATAAACTATGTTTATAAACTTGCTCTCTAAAATTCCTTGTATCAAAGAGGACGGAAATACCTACATAACCCAGACTAACAGAACTCCAATACCTGTGCACTGAGATATGACACATTATCTAATGAGCTAGGTAGGACGCCAAATTTGGTATTAGTTTTTTGATATTTTATATCTTGAGGTAGTTATTTTCCTCTTGTAAAAGGAGAGTTAGGATGATTAAAATTTTTATTTAAGTCAATTTTTTGTGATACATATAAATTTATATACTTTTAAAATCATTAAATTTAAATTTAATATTAGTAAAGAAATCTTTAGCACTTAGTCTGTTTCTTATAACTATGAGAAAGTCCTGTATCTAAAGACAGTCCTATGTGGGGTTTTAGGGAGTGATATTTTAGTGGATTCAACAGTTTTATAACAATTTGGTAAATACAGAGTGATTGATTTATTGTTGACCTTTCTTCTAAAATAATAATAATTTTATTTAGAATTATTTATTTTTCGAATAATATGTAGTTAAATATTTTTAGGCAATTTCTTAACCCTTAAAAGGAAACCAATTTAATTTTTTTAAATGACAGTTTATTGTATGTCTATTAACTGGTAGCTTTTATTGATATATGACATAATAATGTTATCGACTTTTAAAAACAATTATGTTTTTTCCCTGATCGCCATTAATCTTTATACGGATATAATTATATTTTCGTTAAAAATACAATAAAATAAAAATATAAAAAAATTTCAAATTAATAAATTTTCTAATATTATATTAAACTGAGTAGCTAATTGAAAATCAAAAAATTTATGTTAGTGGGAAATTAATATTTCATGTAAAACGTCTCAACAAAGAACTATTATTATTAAAAATAATAATAATAATAATGATGATCTTTAATATTTTTGAAGATATTTCATGACGCATGGGAATCACTCTGTATAATCATATTTGTTTATTTTACTAATATCAATTTATGAGTCCCAGCAACGATACAGTGGTATTTACCCTCATAGCAATTATTTTATAATACATATCTTACAATATGTATATTTTTTTTAGAATTTTAAACAAAAGTAATTTTTTTTTATACAGTACAATTTATAAGTATAATAACACTAAGTTATTCGTTTGTTAATAAAATTATTACAGAAATATAACTGAATAATGTTTCATTTGTTTTTATTATAAATTTATCCAATACTATTACTTATGACAATANTCATTTGTTTTTATTATAAATTTATCCAATACTATTACCAGCATTTCCTTGTAATGTAATTATTTGTTATTAATTTAAAAAAATACATTTTATAATTTAATAATATTTAAAAGCTTGCTTTTTTTCCTTCGATAATTGGTGAAAAATCATTAGAAACTTTTTTTATTTATTTCATAAAAACTACGTTTATGGTTCGCATAAATAATTCTAAATTTGATTCTTTTCCTGAATTAACAGCTCTGTAAATTAACATGTGTAACTTAAGTTTTATAAAAATAATTATACATAATAAAAAGTCTTTAAAATGAACTATATAAACTGTGGTTTAATAGACTGTTTTTATATTCGTAACTGTATCAAGCTGTTTTAGTTTAGTTTAGTTAATTTACTTGTTATAATAAACTCACAAAATGTATAATCAAATTGTCTTGATATTTTGTATTGAATGTATTTACATAAAATCAATTGGTGGAATAGCCAACGATGAACCGGTATTTATCCTTAAAATTATTATTAAAAAAAATAACTTTATAATACACGTTGTACAATATGGGATTTATTTAGTATTTTAAACAAAAATGATTTTTTCTATATACAGTAAATTTTATAAGAATAATATCCCTAAGTTATTTATTTGATAATAATATTTTTACAAAAATATACTAAATGTTTTTTTTCTTGTGTTTATTATTATTGTAATAGTTTTCGGTCGATAAGATAACTATGGTGAATTTAAAAAAAAACGATTTCATTTTTTTCTTACGACGCTTACTTGATTTTTTTTATTTATAATAAAAATGGTTTTGGCAAAATTTTTGATCAATATAATAATGTTAAAACGTACCCCAAGTTGTTTTATTAACAAAAAGAAAATGAAATCTGAATTTATATAAAGTAGTTTTAATATAAATTGACATATAAAAACTAATCTAAAATAGTATCATAACAAAAAGAAATGTACAAATATAAATCTATTAAAACCCATTATTTTCTTTTTGGTGTTTTTTTAGAGAAAAATGAAAATATGTTTATAAGTTAGTGGAATAATCTTAGTTTTTTAAAAATGGACGGTTTTTGTAAAATTTTTATTGATAATACATCAAAAATTTGCATTGCCGACGACATACTTTTATGAAAATCCAATAATTTACAAAAGTTGGGCATAATGATTATTTTGTTTTTTTTTTAATTTTTTAAACTGTTCTGAAAATTCTAAATTTTTTAATCGTAAGTCAAATTAAAGTTGGCATAACGGACTTAAAAAAATTAAAAGAGAAAAACTATACAAAATCAAGATTTTTTAAAGTTAACGATTTTTAACGTCAAAAATCATACAATTTTCAGTAAAAGTGATGGATTTATAGTTTTTTTGGATAGTAATAAAATATTTACTTCATTCTTGGTGGAATCTACTAAGAAAATTTTTACTGTTCCTTAAAAAAAAAAAAATTATCCATATAATTATATTTGTCATTGGTTGTAATACCCATATCCTCCATAATTTCGCCAGTGCTTCATTATTTCAAATTAAAGCTTCATTAATGTAATATATGAATAAAAATAGCAAAACATTATAATGATTTGTCGTCTAAAAGTTATCGGCCTCTAAAGTTCGCAATTTATTTTTTTAATTTTTAAAACGGGATATTGGTTTTGAAACCGGAATTCTTTAATTTATTAAGTATGAAACGCACCGAAGGACAGTAATTTTAATCTATGTTAAATATCAACAAATGCTGTCTAAACAAGCCTCAAATCCAATCGTATGACTTCTGTTGCACTTAATTTTTTTTTTTAATTATATCATTATAATTTAGGGAAAATCAAATTATTACAGTCAAAAATACAGTTTATTGTATGCTTAAAATTCTGAAAAAAAGCTTAAAAAAATTATCGTTCTATAAATTATTCAAAAAGACTAATTTATAATTTAATACTTTGATCAAAAAATTAAAACTATAAATATAACTATATTACATAAAAAAAATATATTTTTGGTGGTATGCAATTTTATTTTCCTTTTACTGTAATTAAAATGTTTGTACTTTACAGTATAAGTCAGATAATAAAATAGTTATACAGAAAATTAAAACTTAACAATAAATAACTATAACGACTTTGTTTACAGCAAAATTTATTTTAATTTCTGATGCAAAGTTCTTTAAATAAAACATTGAATATAAAAATATATTATTTACTTGAAAGTAATTAATATAAAAAAAAATATCATAAGTCTGAAATTCCAAAATACGCTGCATGTATGTACTATTTTAGCTCATATTGATTGATATTTTATCATTTAAAAATTTTACCTTGAAAGAAAAAGTATTTTATGAAATGTATGCTTTATTTATATCAACACCAAAAAATTCAGACACAATTATATTATTTACAAATTTTAATTAATATTCTTTTTCAAGAATAATTAATTGTAAATTGTTAATTATAATTACGCCATTGTAAAATGAGCTCAATGACAAACAAGTATAAAATTGGTTACTTTCAAATTTATATATTTAGATTAGATAATTCGATCCAATGAAGTTGGATATAGTCTAATTCAAATAAATATCAATCAATTATCCCATTATTCAATTTTACATTCACTTGTTTACAAACATTTCAGAAATATATTTAAAAGTAGCTAAAATTATATTTGACGACTAAATTGAACTGATTTTACGGTTGGGTTGGGTTATTTTTAACTGAAAATTATCTTATTACGTCAATAGTAAATCATTTTTTTTTTTTTAAGTTACTTACATTCAATGAAAATTTATATATATAATTAATGTATCAAAGATTTTTAATGAGAAATTATAGATAATTATTTTATACTAAAAATTATTTTTTTGAATAATGTGAGGTAGAACTTTTTCATTTTCAGGTGCCGTTTCCTTAAAGAAATAATTGAATTTCTTTTTTTAAATTTATTCTCCTGTAATAATCTAAAATATGTTGTTGTTAAGATTATCCCGTTAATGATAAAATTATTTTTTTACATCACTAGTTATATTATATTGTTTATTTATTATAATATTAAGCGGGTGTAAACCCTATAAAGAAAATAAAACGCATTTAAATTAATTATACAGTAGATTAAACAATTTCTTTAAAAACCCGAATAACAAATTACACTTTTAAAACTTTTCATATCGCTATCCGAAAATGAAAAGGTTGTAACGCAAGATGATTTTTCAATACACTTTATTAAAAATAGAATTAACATATATTTATGTTGAACATTTAATTTTTATTTAAGTAAATTAGCTATATAATTGTCGGTTAATTAGTCAATTGATAAAACAAGATGATAAAAAATATTTTAAATTGTATACAATTTTTATTATAAAACATTTTTATATTGCATAATAATTTTAGTTTAATTTTATTTATTCAATGAATAACTTAATCCTTAAATGAAATGTTATTTTCCGGCTATTAATTTGTACTAGGGCCCGAATTTCTGTGACAAATGTGTGGCGCAAAATTGTCACGACACTAACTGTGTTCAAAAAACAAACCCTGAAAAATCATTTGAATTAAAAGTAAGCTTTTACTAAGTGTAATTATTATAAATGTTAACTTCAATGTGTGTATTATTTGTATTTTAACATATGATATAAGGTTGTCATATTGGTCATTGAATTTTTCATAAAAAACATTTGTAAAATTTTTTCGTTATACTTTTTACATTATTATACTGCTTACAAAAAAATTAAAAAAAATATATATATATATATAATTTTAGTTCTTTTGACACATAAATCAACAAAATTAGTCCAGTAAGAACTATTTTCATAAACACAAAAAATAAAAAAGAACACATAATGATAAAACCATTATCTTTTCACTTTCGTATCGATATTAAAATAAAATAATTTGTTTTATCATCTCTTCCAAAAAATAACAGTCGTAAATACATATTTTCAATTTTTCTGGCCATTACATAAAATTTTAATTTTACCAATTAGGTATTAAGTCATATAAAATTTTTTTTGGAGAAATATAGATATGTCATTAGTACGACTATTTTTGTTGGATTTATTGAAATATTTTTAATTAATGTAATAAACCAAAAATAAAAAGAAAGAAAAAGAAACGCATAGGTTAAATAGTACTTACCTTACGTCCTGTGTAATACAATAATATTTCAAGTAATCCAGTGTTGATTTCCGTATTAAACGCACTGCGTATACGATTTACACTATATGTCATATAGTCTATATAATTAATTACAAAAAACGACTCAAGACTTTAAATAATATGATTTAATTACACAAAGTCTAAGACTGATCTTACTTGTAAAAGATTTTAAACACTCTGTATTTTATTATAAAAACAATTTTGATTTTTTTTTACGTTTATTGAATAAGTATTTTTTTTGGAGAATATATTTTTTTTTATTGAGAGATCGATACCAATATTTCTTAAATTTTCCTCTGGCCTGGCCAAAACAAGAATCAGAAATATCTATATCTATGTAAAAAATTTATGAAGGCAGAATTGTGGTGGCCCAATGTGTCCCGGTGCTAAAATAAAGCACCTTGAAAGGATGCGGCACAATAATAACCAAGACAAAAATTAAACACTGCAAATATATTCGTAAGTTTCTCTGCGTTGTCTGCCGGCGCGATGTTTATTAAAACAAAGACATTAGCAACGAGACTAGCTACCCAATAAGCATAGGCTTACAAATATATTCTAACCTAATATACCTAATTCTAGAACAATGTCTAGTTGCAACCTTTACTCTGTCTGCCGGCGCGATGTTTGTTAAAACAAAGACATTAGCAACGAGACTAGCTACCCAATAAGAATAGCTCACAATAAATTTTTATTATTAAATGAATATCTAAATTTAGGTTGGATTTATTGTTAAAATAAAATAATTTAAAAAAAATATAATGTTTAAAATATTATTTGATGTTTATTTTCATAACAAGAAAAATAAAATATTATTAATGATTGAACAAATTAAATTAAATTAAAAGATTCACCAAAACAAAATTCACTTTAAAATTTCTAAGTGTCATTTAGTTTTAAAGAAAAATATTCTAAGTCCAAATTAATTAAAAAATCGACTAAGTCCCGGAGAGTGAAATCTTGAGTAGAGTGTCGTAGATTTTGTGTATTTTAAAATCGTCAAAAGAACTGGTTTAGATGGGGAAAAATGGCTTTTTATAGTGTGAAGGAGGTAGCCCAGCGATCTCCACCGTGATCCTAGAAGCTGAGGCTTTGTATTCTAACTGGTTAATTAAAAGAGGGTTCCTGCGTTACTTAATAATTTCTACAAGAGGGAGATTTTATCGTATAGTTAAAGGGTTATTTTGTATTTTAAATAAGAGAACCCTGTTTTGGTGATCTTGTATAATCATAATATGTGACATACATGAACAAATGATAACATCTTATTATATATTAATATTATATGNGTGTACAAATGATAACATCATATTATATATTAATATTATATGTAATAATATAATATTACATTAAAATTAGTTTATAAATTTAACGTTTGTAATTATAAATGTAATTTTTGAAATGGAATAGAATGAATATGCAGTCAGCTATAATGAAGAAACTACAGTTGAAATATTTCGAAGATACAGTAATAATGGTACGATTAACATTAAAGTCTTCGATGAAATCTTACAAACGTATAATATATTTTTAACTCCAGATGAATTGCAAGAAACGTTTAATGAAATGGATACTGATAGTAATGTAATTTAGATAGTTGAGCATTATATTGAATCTTGTATTATTTGAGAAAGGGCAAAGTATACTGGGTGATTAATTAAGACTATGACTCTTATTCTCAAATAACAATTAAAACTTTTAAGTTGGCGTAAAAAGAAGAATTATTAAGCTAAAAAAATCCATTAATATTATATATAACTTTTTTAGCCACTCAGAGATGTAAAAGATAAAAAATTAGTTTCTTAAAAGTAACTATTGTTTATTTCAATGCAAAGGGATATATACCAAATAATTATAAATGGTATAAAACAGTAGATATTTTTAGTTTTCATTTTTTTATTAAAAATTGGGTGTATTATTAGAAAATGTTCATTGATTGTAATTAAAAAATTACCCTTTCTTTAGACATATTTTTTTGAAAATCCAATTATTAAAAAAGGTATTGTAAGAGATTAAATATCATATTAAAATTGTATTCTTTTAAAATAACGATAATGTTCAAAAATCTGACTTTTTAAACTTACATCAATTTAAAGCTTATGCAATATACTCTATGTTCAAAAAAAAAAAAATGATCTAAAACTTCAATTTATAGAAATTATTGGGTATTAATGTAATAAATCATAGAATTATCAGAAAAATGGTCAGCATAGTACTATTTCGCATATTAACAAAATACTTATATCCTTTTAAATTATATCAAATTAAAGCTTATTTAATATAATACATGATTAAAAACAGAAAAATAATCTGGTGACTTGTCTTTTGTGAGTAACTAACTTTTGAAGTCAAATACCATGTAATTTTTGGTAGATATTAAAAAAAAAAAGTTTAATATGTTTCAAATACGCATTGAAGCGTTTTATAGTCATGATTTTAATAACTGCCAGATATTAATCTATACTAATTTATAAAAACTTCATCTCCACTATGCTGGATCATGATCGAAATTAATTTTTTTTTAATTTGATGATTTAATGATATCATACAATANTCGTTTATAGTCATGATTTTAATAACTGCCAGATATTAATCTATACTAATTTATAAAAACTTCATCTCCACTATGCTGGATCATGATCGAAATTAATTTTTTTTTAATTTGATGATTTAATGATATCATACAATAAATTATTTTATCTTTGCTACGAAGCTGTGACGGTGTTGATGCGTTTTTTTTGTCAGTTCATAACGATTCTCAGCTGTCACTAGGTAAATTTTATTGATCAATACATCAAAAGAATTCAATTTTAATCTAGTTGAACCCATTAGCATTAAAACATTGAAAAACACTCCATAATTTTAGAAATTTGAAAAAATATCTTAAAATTATACTAATATGATATTTGTCTGCATTTTAAAATTTTGGTTTTAAAACACTGATCAAAATGATATTAATAGTGTATACTAGAGACAATAAGCACTCTTTTGGTATGATTTTTCTAAAAATCCGATGAGAAATTCGAGTACAGGAAGGGTTAAAAAGAGACCATCCAAAATATTCTTGAATGTCTAACAACTTCTAATTTATATGAAATTAAAGTATTTGAAGTGTACTATATTATTAAAAATATGTCCTGGTGAATTCCACTTTGTGAAATCGGCCGTCAAAGCAAATATGTAACGTTATTTACAGTTAAGCGTATAATTTAACAAGCATTTAATATTCGAGTGAAATTTTAAATAAAAGAAATTGTAAAACTTTAAATATAAAAATTATAAAATTTAATAGATTCATATCGAAGTGTGTTTTTATCGCAGTCATGTTAATTACCATGAGATATCATCTATTCTTGTCCCAGCTTTGTCGCCACGCCACTGTGCTGGTTTTTTTTAGTTAATATCTGTTACAGATTAAAATTATCCCTAATAATTATCTGCTTAATCTTAATTTGCCATAGGACACAAAATGCTTATTAATACTTATAATGCCAATGTCGTCAAGAAATATAAATTAAATTATTTATGTAGATCATACATTAATGTTTATATTTCTAATTAAATAATAAAAAAGTAAAGTACAGTAGGGTACAATAAAGTTTAGTTTTTTAGATTAGTTCTAATTAATAACTGTCAGTAAATAAAACCACTGTCGTATTACAAATAGATGCGTATTTGAAACACATTAAAAATTTTTTTTCTAGAAATCATAATTTTAGATAGTTTTTTTTTTTCATCTCAAAGTACATTGTATTATGTTTAATTTAATATAGGTATAGAGAAGGTAAGATTTTTAGAATTTAATGAAAAATTTTGACATGATTTTTAACCACTCATTAAACCTTGATTAATTATTGAATTTTCAAAAAATCCTATCATCAACAAATTAGTTGTTTGTAGTATAATTAATAAAAATATTAAAATAATTCTTCTATTTTTAAAAATTTTATTTTCATATAAAGTGAAAATGTAAAACATAAATATTGACTGTTTTTTGACAGCTGTAATTTTTTGGAACATTTTCCTTTATTACCGAGACCGAAGGGAATTTTTCAAAATTATAACACTAATAGCTTCAACTTAATACGTTATGTGATCTTTTGATGTAGCTTTGAGCCTAAACTGTTCTGTAGAACAGTAATTACATAGTAATTACATAGTAATTAATAGTAATTACATATATAGACACAAAAAAATAAAAACAGGGCAAATTAAAACCAATAGCTTTTTAGTTAGGCCATAGGCGGACATTGGGGGGGGGCTTAGGGGGCCTTAGCCCCCCTGAAATTTTAGAAGCCCCCTTAAAAAATCTTTCTTAATTATCCACAATTCTGTTTACAAAATATTAAATTTTATTGTTTTTTTTTTATAAAAATATGTCTGATGTGGAATTGTGGTTACATTTTACTATCTGTTAAATTTAATAGTAGTTTACTAGTAATATTTGTTTAATAATGATATTGTGTTTAGTACTGAATAAAATAATACCTAATTTATAATAATGTGATGGTCATAAAATATACTATAAATTATAAATGTTATTTTCGCTGTTCTGTCGTATGTGGTAACTATTTAATGTAGCCTTAACTTTACCTATAAGTTCAGCTACATGCGAAAGAAGCTTTTCAACTATGAAAAAAATTAAAACATGGCTTAGAAATTCAATGACGCAAGATAAATTTACAAATGTATCAATTTTATATATTGAAAAAGATATTTCTAAAAACATTAATGTGGAGGAAATTTTAAATTTATTCGCGAATGAAAATAGATATTTATTATTGAAGTAGTATTTAATATATAATTTTTAATTGTATAATATGTTAATTATTTACTTTTTATTCATTATTATTATGTTATTTAATTGGGGGTGCGGGGTCGAAGCCCCTGCGGGTCACTTTGTGTAAAAAATGTTAGCCCCCCTCAAAATATAACTAAATGTCCGCCTAACTGTTAGGCATAACTAAAAATTACCTTAATTCATTAAAAAAATGTATTGATTTGGTAGATTTTTATTGACTTGTTGATTTTAAATTGAATAACACTTAATTATTTATCTATTCAGAAAAAGGTTTCGTAACTTATTTAGAATTTGTAAATTATGGTGACATAATAAATGAAAAAGAATTAAAACATATGAGATTAGAATTTAACGCATTTATGCATGATAAAAATGGTCACATTGGACCGGCAGAGCTTGTTCAATTTTGGATCAAAACAGGAAAACTAGGAGATATCGAAAAAGCCAAAAATATGATCTCAAAATTTGACATAAATAAAGATGGTGCCATTGATTTTAATGGTAATTTTTGAAAAAATTATATTTTCATGAAATTATAGAATATCTTGTGTTAGAATAATTAAATGTATACATACTATTTAATTATTTATGAAAAGCTATAGATTCAATAAATCAAAAATTTGATTCGAGAGGCTGACTCACTAAAATAGAATATTAAGTTTAATAATATGCTACCTCTGCTATCAGATCATACAGTTTGAAAATTTAAAGTAGAGAAATAGATTTTTATAAAAAATGGTAGATATTTGTAAAACTATTTAAAACATTTTTATACCTAGGTGAGAGAAGAAGTGAGGCTGAAAAATTATTAGTTTTCTACCTAGATATTTCCAATAAATATTCTGAAATAATTAGACGTTCATTTTCCTTAAAAAATTATAATGTTGACGCGGTGAATCACTTCTTGCGCGTACCTTCTAAAATAACTTTAAAATAACTCACCTCTAGTCAATACATTAAATTCTTAATAACTTCTATAATATTGATTATTATTTGTTATTCATTTTTTTAATTACCTCGTTTTCTATTTTATAAGCTAGTTAAATATATTTGTTGACGTTAAAAAAATTAAGTTGACACTCCTATGAGACATAAGGAATAAACATAAAGTATATTTAATTACAGATTAATGTAGCTAACAAGCGTATAATATATTTGTAAAACTAACAAAACACAAAAAAAAAATTTTTAAAAAAGTTATTATTTTAAGAATAAAAAACTAAGAATATATCATGTGGCTAGCAATAAAACAAGTACTCTGTATGTAGTACCCGTATAAGTATAATACTTATTTAAGTATTGTACCACATTAGATGTTAATAGGGGTTGGCGCCACTACTTGATTGTGTGATATAGTGTAATTTTACTTTCTTTGCAAGAGACAAACTATGTTCTAAACCATCACAGTTACTTATGTTTTATTGTAACAGCTATTCCTTTCAATAAAAACATAGGCAACGTGTTCCGTATTAAAAAACAGCATTGCATACCCCTTTAGCGTAATGAGAGAGAGGGAAATCACATATTTTATAGGGTATCATGTCTCCCCTTGTCCCTTAAAAACGTCATTCATACGCTACAGATATACAAGTTGCAGTGAGAAAAAGAAAAGGATTGCTAAGTCAAGTAGGAAGAGAGTCGCCATGCGTGGCGACTCTCTTCTTTTGTAGGATTTTATTCATTTTGACCCCTAAAACTACTTTTCAGGGCGGACGTATTCCCTCTTGCACAACTAATTAGCTCCACCTATAGTGTATGATATGCTAAAAGAATCACATTATATAGAATTATAGGAATAAGATAAAATCAGTTAGATATTTAAGTTTGTTTGTCTTAGGTATTATTTTTGTTAAAATGAAATGACTACATGTGGTTTGTCGTAAAATGTAAAGTGAAGGGAAATTACATACGGATGACACTGACCCGAATAACATTAATTCTACTATAAAATGTGCAATGGTTTTGGGGGATGATTTTATGACTCTTGATTTTTTTTTATCGATTGTAGTATATATAGAAAAAAATGTGTGTTTACGTAAAATGCATCTGTTCGATTGTTGGGCGCCAAGCTTTAATAGTTGAATTATTATTTTATATGAATGATTAATACAAATAAAATATTTATGTTACACACATCTAATTGCGATTAGAATGATGATAAAACGTTAAAAATTATTATTTTTTAATTATTTACGTTGAGAAGCAATTCTATAATTCCTACGATAACAATTATTCATGACTTATTTTAAATATATCTTTATTTTTTTATGAAATGCTTAGTGATATAATTTCTTACTTAATGTCCAGCTAGCTTGATCGTTTGTTTCACAAAAAAAAATATAATATGAGTATTGACTTTAATTTACTTATATATTTTATAAGCTTATAAAAATTGTTAAACTTGAATATTACTTCACTTAGATAGCTTTTTCACTTAGTATCTGAATATACAAGGTGATATATTAAGGATAAGACGCTCAGTTTCTCAGTAACTATTGAAAATTTTTAATTTTTGGTAAGGAAAATATTGTTTAATTCAAAAAACTCTACAATAATATGTAGTAAAATCATAATTTTTTTCATCCCTTTAAGGCTAAAAAACAATAATTTGAATTTTCTGAAATAGAAATCCCTATTTTGAACTTTTTATTATGATTTAAAATAAAAATGCAAACAACTTTGCTCTTATATTTTTTTTTTCGGTCAACCGTTCGTCTGTTACAGCTTGTTAAAGTTAAATGATTTTGGACTAAATTTCTTTCATTTTACTGTTTTGAATACAGAAGTCACTATTTTTAATATAAACTAATTTTTATTGACCAAGACATAACATGTAAGATAGTAATAATAATTTACGACACACTAATTGAGAGATAATAATAATAGATTCAAATCGGGCCTTAACTATATTATTAATAGCACAGTGTATTGGTTTGTAAACAAACTGTAATACTGGAGAATCAATTTCTTTGAAAACCTCAACTCTAGGCGTTATATAGTGACTCTTAACAATAGAATACTACAATAATGTTATTGTAATAATTGCTTACACAAAATAATCTTTATTTTTGTTGACGGATACGTATTAAAAGTTGTGCATAACATCATAAACTGAATTATGTTAAATTAGTTTGTGTTACACCATAGAAAATGAGTGACCCCTGTATTCAAAACAGTAAAATTATAATAGAAATGTCATTTAAGTGTGCTTAGGAAAATGAAATAAATATTAAGAAAGAATATCTACATTTTTAATATTGAAAGCAACAATTAAAACTCAATAATTTATTTAATCAAGTGCATTGACTGTGGTCGGCATTATTGACGACTACGTCTGAATCTGACATCTTTGACAAAACGATAAAAAAAACGTGTATTACTTACTTTTTTGCTATTGTAATTAATAGTAGATTTATTTTAATTTTCATTATTTTTTAAAGGTAACCCAGAAATTATTCGTTCTTTATATTGAAAATTCGAATTGCCCTTTAGTGGCTTATTTATACTGGGGATTAATATAAAAAAACAGAGTTCTTACCTCCTTATTTTGACAATATTTAGTAATTATTTAAGTCCTTTTTTCTAGTTAAAATTTTTTTCCTAGAAATTTCTCCGTAGATACATCTAAAAATAATAATCAAGACTCGAATAATACTATTCAATGTAATTACACTTATTTACTATAATATACGTGTGTTATACATAAATTTCACTGTTATATTTTTATTTTACTACTTAATTAAATGAATCTAGTGAAATCAATAGCGTATTTAGAAAGATCATAATAGCAAGTAACTCTGTATCGTGATATCAGCGCTATGCTAATATAAATTTTTTTTATATCCCTTGAGTGAAGTCTCATTAGAATGATTATTTATTATTAAGTGATTTAATTGAAATAAATTTCATATTAAATATACAAACAAAATAAAGTAACTTTCATTGTAATAAAGTTACTTTTTTATGATAAAAGTAATGCAAAATATTGAATAATTTTTAAGTAGTTTAATTCATACTCAATTGAGTAATTCATAATTTAACTTAATTACTAAATAATATCATTTGAAAAACACTGCCTGTAATTCATACGGATGGTTAATAAGTCGTATCTACAAATATACAGAGTGAATCACGAAAATATGACAAACTTTAGAATTCAATTATCATTTCGTTTAATTTTTGTATAAAAATAATTATTGCACTCTTAGAGTATATTTATAAAATATTTAACATATTTTTTTATTATTCATCATAGATAAGAAAAAATAAAAATTCTTGTTTTTATTGATATTAAAATTTTGAAATAGCTATTTTTTGCCGCTGTCTTGCAAAACATTTAGATGGGTCGATAACAGTTTTACAATCATTTTAATATATAAAGTATAGAGTATATGCTTAATACTCAATGAATATTTTTATTAAAACTATTATCTACTGATCAATATTTTGTGTAAGAACAATAGTAAAAAATAGCAATTTCAAAATTAAAAAAAAAATTATTTTATCATTCTTAATAGTAATCAATATTGAAAAATATACTTTGAGCATATTTTAAGAAGGCAATAATTATTAAAAAAAACAATTTTTAACGAAATGATAATTGGATCAAAAGTTATTAGATTTGTCATATCTTCGTAACTCACCTTTATATTACAAGTAGTTGTATTATAGTTATAATATAGTATACATATCACTATGATATATAATGAATCAATAAAAAAGTTTGAGTATTACAAATTTACATTAAAAATTAACTAAAATAAATAAAGACACGGTGTACCTATGATGAAAATTTAGAGGAAATACAAGTACAGCCTAAAATAAGTTGATACCATTTAAATTTCCAATTGAAAAAGTCATCAAAATTAGATTTGTATGTGTAATATACAAACCTAATAATATTTGTATTAAAGAACAATATATAGAGTGTATTTATACGGGTTTCCATTACTCAAGTATTTTCGGAATTTCGTTATTTATCTATAATTATTAAGCAGTGGGAACGGTGTACTTGTACGAGAATTCGACATTCGTTATTCGTCATCTTACCGACGTTTGAAGTATTTCTAACACGAATCAAAGTGATTATAAATATTTGTCCAAATACGCGATAAGTGGGAACGGTCTACAATGTTGTTTTTTATTTTAACAAATACTCGTTCAAAATCAATACTTTAATTATTAAAATAAATTGTTATATTTAATTAGTTAATTAAATATATTTTCAATTGTTTTATATTATTATACAAAGTGATTTTTGACACTAGTCAATAAATTACTCTTAAAATAATGAGATTTTTGAAAATACTTTGTTTTTTGGAATTTGTTAGTTACATATTAATTCTATACAACTGTTATAAAATAATTTTTAGGTCCACCCCTTATATATTATAAAGATGTCAACTAATATTAGAAATCTTAGGGTTTAAAAACTTTTAAAAAATTTATAAGTTTCTCTCTGTATTTGGAGTTTCATAGTATTCATCACCTCCAAACGGTAGTGGGTAAATATTAAGATTTTTTTTTTATTGTTTCGTGTATGGATTATACAGTCCACATAAAATATACGTATAAAATTTATTCTAGTTTATAAGTTGTATAAATTTAGAAAACTATTCTATATATTAAAATACANACTCTGTTTTTTATTAATTAGTAATTTGTTCTAATTTCATTTATCATTTTTTTACTATTGTTTATTTTTTAACCAAAATATCATTTGTAATTGAATATACTCGTGTTGTTTTTGATATACTTTATTTTAAGGCTCAATTACCAAATCTTAAATTTTTCCTTTCTTTACGCAAATGCTTGTTGATATTATTCATTAATTACAAGAAAAGATTATTAGTCACAAATTGCCGATACTTAAGGTCAAATATCGTTGGCTTAGCACAGAGTGTAAAATTTATTCTAGTTTATAAGTTGTATAAATTTAGAAAACTATTCTATATATTAAAATACAGTTAAGGTAAAGGATTTATCCATTATTTTCCATTAGTTAGTTAAACTCCATCTAATTGTTATACATTTTGTTTACCTAATGATTAATATTTTGTTACAGACTTCGTTTACATGAAGACTCAAAGAAGTTCAGAAAGGTTTTAAAAATAAGATTTATCATATACCATACTTATCATATATTTATATATATTGAATTACATAATATGATATTTAATAAAATATGATAAATTTATGAAATTTATTTTATTGCAATTATAAAATAATTATTTAATTTTTTAATTGCATAGATAAAAATCTCTTGCTGTCATACAAAATCTTTATTTTATATTAAATAAAATACAAAAACCTATATATATTAATATTTTTGATTACAAAACAGTAGGCATCATCGTTAGAGGCGTCATTTGGGAGGGGTATCAAGGTGTGCGGTTGCACCCTTACTTTAAAAACAGTCCCAATTGGCCTGCAAAAATAATGCATCAATTTTTGATACATCAATTCAAATTTTAAAAACATTGTATTATCATGGTTACATGGGACAATAAACAAATATTATGTTATCAAATAATTGAGTAAACAATAAATATATCAAACTGAACCATTGATATTCGTACCGGATGCGAGATATTGATGTTGTAACCTGACAAAAAGTACCTGTTTATTTTTTTTGTCTATTTGTATAATATATATATTATATATATAAATATGTGTATGTGTGTGTCTTCAGTTATCTTGGTTGAGCCGAATGCGTCCTGCGACGGTGTTTATCATTTAAATAATTATGATTAATAATTATCAGCTGGTGTGATTTGCTTGTGCGCGTACGAGGTAGTCAGCTGTGTACTACTTCGGACCGGTTCATTGACGGCATTTGTGTGTACATTCACCCCGCTCCTTTTCTATCTTGAACTGGATCGATATTTTTCAACAATAAGTCAAAAGATATACACATATACAAATTTATAAGTGTTTAGCGCTGATAATGGTAACATTGTTCCAAGATTTTTTAGTAATTTTTTGGACATGAGTTAGTATTTACTGTAGAATAGGTTTGGCTATAGGCTATAAAATATTATAGTGTGTTATACAATGTTAACAATTTTTTAGATTCTATAAAATGAAAATTAAAAATCCAGCATAATTAATTAATTTTTATATTTGATTAAAATAGTGCATTTTATTGTCAAATAACTTAACAAGTGAAATAAAGTCATTTTTTTTTTGTAAAAATTCAGTATTTTTTTACTTTGACGGCCGATTTTGCATATTACAACAATCATTTGTATAATAATTTTAAAACTATATATAACACCAAATTTTTTCAAAAAAAAATGTTATTATCTTGAATATACTCTATTAAAGTATCCAAAAAAATTACAAATTTAAAAATCACTAATTTTCGAAATTTTTCAATTTTTTTTACTTAAAACTGCCATAACTTTTTGAAAGATGTATGGATCAATATAATTGATTTTTTTATAGATGCTTGATGTCCTTACCTATCATTTGGTATATTTTTTTTATAAATTTAACCCTTTACTAACCCACAGGAGGGGATTCAAAATGACAACTTTTTCACAAAAAATTAACTTTTGTAACTTAAATTTTGAAAGTGTTCCGGAAATTCTGACAGTTTTATATATTATAGTGAGCCAAAAGTAAGGTTTTGGTTGTGATATAATATAATAAATAAAATTGGGTATGTTGATTAATTACTTTGAATTTTTGAGCACTTGAATAAAATCACTCATCTTACTTTTGGTTACTATAATTCAGTTTACTTAATATTATTGGTGTCGTGGAGTCCGAGGGTTTTAGAGAATGACAATACAATTTAATAAAAGGGTTATGATAAATATTGAGATTTAATGTGTGTATCAAATTTTATAAACTTTGGTGAATCATTTGAATAGTCTCACGTTTCAAAGAGGACGAGCTTATGCCGGCAACTATGAAACGTAATAAGAAAATGCGTAGGTACGATCTTTGGTCAAGCACTTCGAACGCATTTAATAATTCTCATGAAAAACCAGTTAATAAATTTAGTATGTGTAAAGATAAATTAATTACTATTGTTTTGTCATTTTCTTCTCGGATTAAATAATTCCAAATTATTGGAATTAAAATGTATCACCTACTTTATAATGTTTGTGCGGAATTGAAATGAATAAGACTGACAAGTTTTTCTTTCTGACTATTTGAGAGACTGGTGGTCTATTGCTTCATTTGACTCTAGACTTGAGAAGTGGAATGTCCGTATTTTATAGCTTTTTACGGTTTTTTATATGAAATCTATGATCTATATATGTCACTAAAATGTAGGAATTGACCACCAGAGCTCTCATCTTTATTGAAACGAAAATTATAAGCAGGGATAATATATTGCATTGGTTGTGGTACATTTGATTTTTGTTAGGGATACTGTTACTTAATACATTGTCTTTGTAGATTAATTTACAGTGTTTACATTTATGATACAGATATTAATTTTAAACTGAACAAGTACAAACATTGTATTAATTACATTAGTGATTATGCTATGATATCAATTTAAGATAATTATTTGTTTTATGATAAACATTGCGAATAATATTAAATTTGAGCGATGAACGGTATCACAACAATATATCTTAAATTAAATCTTATGTAATATACCTTAATATTAAAAAAAAAAAAATTTTGGACTTTATTTTGTCTTCACGGTGAAAATGGCTACCGAATGCTATTATTGTGTGAAAATTCTCGACTTTATTTTTTACATTTTTAACTTTATAATGCTATGGCATATTGAAAAGTGTATGGATCAACATAATTTTTTTATGAGAAATAATATTTTTTAATAATCCCTTTTTCATTCGACATACATTATCTAAATCAGGATATTAATAAGGAACTAGCAGATCATGTAACTTTTAGAATAATCCATTAATTTTTTTAAATTAAACACTATCTAAAGATTTGCATCGAAGCGTTTTTTTTGTGTTAGTGATTTTAATCACTGTCAGATATCATTATACTTGATCCAACTATGCCACGTCACCACTGTGCCGCGACCCCCCTGTGGTGTGTTTTTTTTTATCTTACATTACAATGAAAAAATACGTATAATTTTTAAAATAGGAGTGACACTATTACTAATCAATACCACAAACATACAATTGCAAAAACATAATTTTTTTTAATTTTTACATTTACAAAAATAGAACTTAATCATATGTGATGAACTGGGTGTTCGAAGTCCAAGTTCGATCACGCGGATAAGTATTGTCAGAAAGAGTCAAAATAATAACAATTATAATGTAACATTTACTGATTGAACACTGACCACCGAGTCAGTGATCAGGTCCCTTTTTATTAGGAATAATTAAAAATTAATGATATAATTAACAATATTACACTTTATAAATGCTACATTTTCTAATAATTATAATGTTTCTTACTTTCTAGTTATTAATAATATAAATTCCTTAAAACTAATATTGACATAATAATTATGAGTTCATGACACAAATTCTATAATATTTTCTGACTAGCACTTACGTGAGTTAAAACATACAAAATTGACGCTTTTACAAAGTAAATTCTGAAAACGTTGCATTTACTTTTTACGTTAGTAATTGTTAGTTCAGCTTTATAAAAAATATTAAAAAAAAAAAAATTATATTTTATATTTTATATTTTTATTCCTAATTCCTAGGTGTAGTGCATTTGTAAAATCATGGCTTTACAATGAATGAATAAATTTTAGTTATAAGTTCTACGTTTCTCTTTTTATCATTTTATTCTTTTTTTATTCATTATTATCGTCTTAATTCATTTTTAAATTGAATAAGTACTACGAAATTTGCTGAACTATAATTAATGTATGTTCATCTCTTACATTCTTAAAGAAATATAATTAAAAGACGATGCTTCATAAACAAAGAGATCCATTAAATATAAGACACTTATTCCCTTGGGAACTATTGAAAATTTTAAATTATCATGTAGAAAAATATTGTTTTTTTCAAAAAACTCTACAATAATATGTATTTAATAATTTTTCATACTTCAAGAATTAAAACTCAATTTTTAATTTTATTTAATTAGAATCAACTTTTTTTTTTTAGATAATATGATAAAAAAAAATTGAAAAATAATATTTTTCCAATCAATTGTTTATGTTTTAAAAATTTGGATTAAATATACATCATTCATCATAAATATTCATATGTTGAATAATTTAATGTCAAATTAAAAATAGTGGTACCGATTAGAGAAATTTTAGGTTTTTTATTCTTGAAGGGATAAAAAAAAATTGCTTAGCTATAATTTATTGTAGAGTTATTTTATAATATTGTTATCCAACAATATTTTCCTTCACAAAATTTTAAAATGTCAGTAACTTTCAAATAAACGAGTCTTATTTTAAATTAACCATTATGTATTACAATTTTTAATTTTTAAACAATGTAACCCATAAGTTTATCGAAAATACTGCTAAAAAATTTTGATATTTGGGTAGAAAGAATTAGAAAAATGTTATAATACAAGAGCGAATTTTACAAAAAATGGGTATATAAGCAAGATTAATTTTGTTAACTTTAACACAAAAATTAAAATTGGACTGTAATCGTTTTATATATTTAAAATGTAGTCTTCCTTTAGTTCAAAATTGTAACATAAAATATATGGTTAATCAAACCAATGTAAAATGTAATTTTTTTTTATTACCTTTTAACTATACTTACTATTTATCTCATATTTTACACTTCGGTATGCTAAAAGTATTTTGAAAATAATTAATTAGTAACCCTCAAATATAAACTCAAAAATTATTCAAAAGAGAAAAATTTTAATGTTCTAATTTTATCTATTTATGATTCTAAATTTTTGAATAAGATTTATTTATTTTTGCACTCCACCGGATATTATACAAGTTTAAAGTTTAATTTCATTGTTTCAGTATTATTTTAGAAATTGTATGTAAATGGCTTATTAATAGTGGTGCCAAATCTACTATAACACACGATGAGTATTTTTAAATGTATTGTATGCATAATAAAGACTTATTCAGGGAGAAAAAAATAAAACCACTACATTCGGGATCTGGTATAATAAAGTTATTACTTTCGACTAGAGACCAATTACTAGTTTAGTTTTGAATGATGTAGATGTTCCTATTATTTATTAAATGTATTATGTGTGTTGTACATATTGTTTGTTGTTTTTATTATAATTATGAATGAACGACATTAGACAACGGCTAGTTCCTCCCGGATTGTTTTAAAATGCATTACGAAAAAAAACCGATATCTCATATAATTAAGTTTTTCATTTTTAACTTAAAGTGTATTGTATTAGTTTAAATTTAATATAGATTTTATGAATTCGGATTTTCAAAACATTATAAAAAATGGAAAAGAAAAATATTTGTTATGATAATCATTCTTCTTCCAGTCATTTGGTTAATGATTAAATTTTTAAAAAACCTAGACCTTGTCAATCTTAATTATAGTCAATGAAAATTTCACAATAATCCGCCTAATATCCTAAAATGTTATACCAATTATAAGTAAAATTAAAAGTATTAACATTGACTTTTTTTATAAAATCTGTAATTTTTTTAACATTTCTCTATATAGTGGAGATTTAGGGAAAATCTTCAAAATTGTTGCGCAAAAAGTATCGAAGCTAAAATGGTAACCTACAAAATATATTTTCGTATATGACAACTGTTTGACTAATTTTCATTACGAACAAAGGCAAATTGTATTTTATGGCGTCATTTTTTCATTTATTTTTAAATAATTGAATCTTTTTTACTATTGTAATTTAAAAATACTATATCGAATTTTGCATGTATAGAGTTTAAAAACTTCTGTTTAAATGTCAAAAGAAAAATAATTGTTAAAAATAAAATAATTACTACATTGTAAGTTCACAGTGGTAATTATAATAATATGTATAATTTTAACTCAAAATTTTTAAATCTGACGTATTAAAAAAAGTATACTTTGACAGAAACATTATTTGATAATCCTCTTTATAAAATTTAGTAATTTTTTTTATATAGGTGCTTAAAATTTAGTCAATAATTTTCCATTGATAATACAATTTATTATATCCTCACTAAGTAGATACTCTGCATACTTAAAATATTCATTTAATAATTATAAGGTTATTGTCAATTTATAACTGCCTATTTCGGGAATATCTAGATTATAACAATATTATAGTGGGCAAAAATAACATTGACTAAGTTTCAAATAAGACTTTTGGGCATTTAGATATGATTTAGTTTTAAATTTATTTATTTCAAATATGCATTATTGTATTTCTGATTATTGAAAAATTGAAATTAAAAAACAAACGATAGCTCAATGGGTCACAGCTTAGAATGTATGTGTCATAGTTTCTATATGCATTTCTTAATTTTGAATATCTCTGTATAAAGAATAATTTAAAAAAAAAAGATATCAGATGAGACGAGTGCATAAAAAGTATCGATTAAAAAAAATTGTATTGATCCATAAATTTTTCAACAAATTATAGAAATAAAATTTAAAAATAGAAATTTTTTTCACAAAAATAGCATACATTTGAATACGGTAGTCATTTTTACCACAAAGATAAGTCCAGAGGTCAATTATTTTTCTTCAAATTAAAGTAAATTCCATAAGCTTTAATTTAAGATATATATAAAAGTGTCTGTATTTCCAGGAACTTTTGTTTAAGAGTTAAATGGAAATAGTTAATTTTTTGTGGAAAATTTGCCTTTTAAAACCTCTCCTATGGGCAGGAAAAGAGTTAGATTTTTAAAAAATATATGCAAATGATGTTTTGATTCATCCATTTTTCAAAAAGTTATGGCAGTTTTAAGTAAAAAAAAGTTACCAAAAATTATATATTTTAAAGTTGTAATTTTTGGGAATTTCCCTCATTTACGGGGAACGAGGGAAATTTTTTCAATTTTTGAGGGTAAAATCTTCGACTTGATACGATTTGTGTGATCTTTTAACATATTGTTCTTTAAAATCAGTCCAGTGAGTGCTATGAATAAGTGGTACTAGACATAAAAAATAAACACATTATAGTAAAATTAATACCTTATCAGCTTCGCATCAAAGCTAAAAAACAAAATAGAACAATGGAAATTGTCTTTATATGTCTTTAAATACGTTTCCAATTTATGTTATTTCGATAAATTTACATTAAATTAACAATGAATGTATTGATAAACCAGAAAACAAATTTGTGGCTATATCACAAACTTTGTGTGTGTGTGTTTTGTTTTGCGTTTTCTATCATCAACAAACTTGTGTATTTATTTATTTTACCCTTCAAAAATTATTTGACTCTAATTTATAAGATAAGGTCAACAGCCTTTTCTGAGGTAATGTCATCTAAACATAGTAAACTGACAACATAGCCACAAAATTGTCATGTAATTTAGTGCAGTCACTTGATATTATTTACAACTTAACAAAATGAAATTCAAAGAAAATAATGATTTAAAAAGAGAAAGAATTGTCAGTATTATCTAAGCACATTAAACGAGTAATAAGAAAGTTAAGGAGTCGGAATGTTGATTTGTAAGGAATAACAAAATGAACAGAAGATCGAGTATAATATAGCGAAGTTCTTATATAGCTTATGGTGCTTGCATTTATTTATGTCCATTGCCACATTGTTAAGTGTATTGAAGCACATTGCTTCAAGGGAGGCGAGATGTTCGCACCGCATGAAAATCCTAGTTAGCGCGCTTACTTAGTTCTGTTCAATCATCTTCCCTTCCTCCTCCGGTCCTTAAGCGGCGACGGTCGGTTATCACTACCGGTCGACATGTGTGTGTAAAAATATTAATAAAAAATAAGGTAGAGTTTTGTTGCTCATACGAGTTAGTAAAAATTATATTCACGTTTTTTGCTAAAGTATATTTTGTTCAAGTTTGTTTATGTAGCTAGCCACTTTAGCATAAGTAATATTGTATTATATGATTAGTGTATTTTGGTGCTTAATAGTAGCTGAAATTATTTAAGTCACACGGATGACGTTATCGGATTACCTAAGGTAATAATTTTAGTGTATATTAATTATATATCCAACACTATTATTTATATTGAACTTCTTTTTTTATAGTTATAGATATGTGTATATAATCAAATTCATATTTAATAATACTGATTTATATTTATTATTTATTATCTATCAACTTTTATTACTATATTGCACAGGGTGCTATTATAACTTATAAATAATTAATACAATTTAAATTATTGTTATTTGTATGGAAATATAAGTAATTTTATATGAACCAACAACCACAGTCTTCTTTCAAATCAAATATAAATGTCCTAAAATTCTTTTTTATTAATCACCGGGCAAGTTCGATATCATTTCTCGCTTCCGGTATTAACAATTTGGTTTAAACCAATCGTTTTCAGACCACTATGTGTCGTAACAAAACGGTTATAAGGGATATGTGCTTTAATCTCGAATTTTTTTTTTTATTTCACTGGTTGAAAAGAAAAAATTGTACTTGTTTTGATCTTTGAGATACATTTTTTATATTATGGTACTAAAATAGCGCTAATAAGAAAAAGTAGCACTTAAACTTTTAAATATGCAGATATATACAATATAAAATTTCGAATTTCTATAATATGGTTTCCGTCGCATTTTGGTAAATTCAAAAATAGCCGATAAAGCGTTAGAAAAATATGTAAAAAAGTCTGACACCACACTCATAAAATTATTTGTTTGCATAAAGACATCATAAAAGCTATTAACAAAGACTGTAACTTTATACGGCAGAAATATTGGTATCAAAATGTTCCAACACAACAAATTGAAAAAAATAAAAAAATTACCATTGAAACACGAAAACTAGATTTATGACCGAACATAGAACCCAACCCAACCCTATGAACTAGATCACGAATTGGTCACATGATACTTCTATTTGTATATTTTAAATAAAAAAGATCATCTTTATGTATATACTATAACGAAATTTTCATTATGGAACAAATACTTCTAAATTTTCAGTTACATACTGATTATAAATATTTTAACCATCTACCCTTCAATAGGAATGGCATTTTTGAAGAAAATAATAAAGAAAATTTAATTTCATACTTAAAACAATCAAACCAACCAAAATTATTGTAATTCATAGAAGTATATGTTTATTTTCTTTTTTATATTAACCTATTGTTAATATAAGATTGTTGACTAAAAATTGTGTATAGTATATAAATATCAAGACTAATAGCCTGTGCTATCAAAGATTTAATAAAAAAAAAAAATAACAAAATTTGTATTTTGTTTTTTAGTTTAATGAAACAAATATATAATTGCGTTGGCATCTCTAAGAACTCTAAAAAATAATACACGAATTTTAAAAATTATGAGCCCTTTTATAAGTCTACAGGGCTTAGTACATATATATTTAGCTTGACATAGTCAATTAAAGTATTTTTTAGCTTCGATGCGTAGCAGAGAAGGTATTAATTTTACCATGATATGTTTATTTTTATTTTTTGTGTCTGTCACTACCTTTTCTCAGTTTTTACTGGACCGATTTTTCCCAAAATTACATCAAAAGATCAAAAATTGTATCTAATTAAAGACATTACCCTCAAAAATAGAAAATTTTGCCCTCGTTCCCCGTAAATAGTGAAAATCCTTCAAAAAATTACGATTTTTAAAATCGATAAATTTTAACTTTTTTTCTAAAAATTCCCATAACTTATTGAAAAATAAACAAATCAAAATAATTCTTTTTTATATTTAAACCTTAGATATTTTTCTTTCGTTTTATATAAATTTTTTGAAAATCTAATCATTTACCTGCCCATAGGAGGGATTCAAAATTGTACTTCTACACAAAAATTAAATTTTTTCAAGATAAGTTTTGAAAATATTCCGTAAATTATCCGAACTTCAAACATATGTTAAAATAAAAATAATTTTATGCACTATAAGTTCAAAAAAAAAAAAAAACATTGTCCCAACGACTAATCTTCTATGTTTGCACGTAATTAATAAACAAGCAAATTTTGGTGTTAAAATTTACGATTTCAAATTTTATAAGTTAAACTTTTTCAACTCAATTTTTGAAAATTTTCCGGAAATATTGACACTTTTATTGAATCTTAAATTAAAGCTTATGTAATATACTATACTATGAAAAAAAAAATTTCGAGATACAATGAACATGATTATCATATTCAAAAATATGCTATTTTTGTGTTAAAATTTTGGGTTTTGTATTTTAATTTATTTTAATATAACCTATAATGGGGTACAGTGATTTTCATGAATATTATATATAACTAATTGACATAGAATATAATATTAAACTTATTTCTATTTTTTTTCTCTTTAAAGTCGACAAAATTAATTTTAAAATTTTAACTAGCTTAAATTGACAATTTTATCAAAAAACGAATGCAACGGACGTTTGCCTATTCAATAAAAATTATGCCTTTGGCAATAATTTTTTTGCAATTTTTTCGTAATTCTATATGAGTTTTGAATTTTGCTTTTCAATAATCCACCAATTTCTTAAAATTAAACACTATCTACAGATTGTCATCAAAGCGTTTCTAATGATAGTAATTATAATCACTGTCAGATATCATATACACTAGTCCCAACTATGCCGCGACCCCATTGTGCTATCGCTTTTTTAATTTTTTCTTAGCTCGATAAAGTAATTAAATTAATCTCTAAAATTGTTTTCTTTTAAACCTATACTTAGAGTTTTCATTTTAATAAATAATAAAAAACATATATATTATTGTTCCTAGTTTAAAATTGAAAATTTAATATAACGTATATTAAAATTTCATAAAAATCCAGCTTTTTAATAAAAAGTTATTAAATGTTCAGTTTTATAATGCAAAAAAAATTATAATTTTTTCCGTTGATATATTATGATAGTAAGCATATCATATCTTACTATTCATCATAATATTTTATATAAATAATATTATTTTCATACTATGAATTAGCGCGAATTTTTTGTGGTCATTTATATCTATTCGTTCTGTTATATTTAATCAATTTATATTTTAGTAATTTTTAGATATAACGTGATGTGATCGCCTAGTGCCAAAATTAGTAGTTACAATTATAAATACTCTAAGAGTTTGTAAATTCTTCTTTAACGTTAAATTTTACAATATACATTTTATTTACAATAAATAATATTAAACTAAAATATTTTTATTCTTATTTTTGACATACTTGTCATCTACGTATTTTTTTTTTTCATATATCTCAGTTATTGTTTTCTGAATATGGTTTATTTAGTTATTAATGACGTTACAAATAAATAAATCAAATTTAAAATATACAGNCCTCAGTTATTGTTTTCTGAATAATGGTTTATTTAGTTATTAATGACGTTACAAATAAATAAATCAAATTTAAAATATACAGATTTATCAGTTATATTTTTGTATTTTTATGATTCATGATTTATGAATTTGTTCATAAAAATCTGTTTTTGTCATTAGAAGACAAATTATCTTAAATTGTTTGGACTATATCAAACAAGAATATAAAATTCAGTTTTGCGTCATTTATTGGTTAAAATAAATAGTTATAATACAAGTATGCTATAATGAGCTCATTAATTGTTTAATTTTTCAAATATTTATCTTGTACATTTTCGCAATTTTAATAATACAATTCCAAATATGAATTTTACGCTTTTAATGTTTTTTTAAATTCTAAATTCTGTAAAAAAACATGTTTTAACTTTTAAATGTATTCTCAAAAAAAATAATTTGAATTTGTGATTTTATCCACTAATTGCAAAAGGGGTGAAATTACATCACTTTTACAAAATAAAAGCAATGCCTAACTCAACCTCTCTAATGTTTATAAAATTTTAATTTTATTTAATATCGTTAACTTTTTGGNGTGAAATTATATCACTTTTACAAAATAAAAGCAATACCTAACTCAACCTCTCTAATGTTTATAAAATTTTAATTTTATTTAATATCGTTAACTTTTTGGGATATTTAAAATTTTGTATAGAGAGTGAATAATTGTCACTTCATAAGAAATTTCTTAATCTTTTAAAATTTTTTAGTTAACTTTAAAATTTATTTTATATGATTCTATTATAACTCTTGTTCAAAATAGTCTCAAAGAAGACCATTGAACGAAAAAGTTTAAAATTTTTTTTATTTACAGTAATTTAACTACGGTATACTATACAGTGTAATAGTTCATTATAGAAATAATTCTTAAATAAATCTTATTTTATAATGATGAACCAATGGTTGATGAATATAAGTAATATATATATATATATATATACAGAGTGATTTTTTTATCATAAGCCCCTCATCAATTACTTGCAGAATAAATATAATTTAAACATTTTTTTTTGGTTTTCTTTAGTTACACATTATTCTTGAATTATTAACTATTTAAAAATTTTTATGTTTATCCCTTATTCCTTGTAAGGGTGTCAACTTTGTTTTTTTAAATGGGAACACATATTTTGAATTTAATAAAATGTTTGGACTTTTAATTCAATAGTAAATGGCATTTGAATTTTTAGTATAACTTTATTAGTTTATTAGATATAAACATGTATAATACACAAAAGATTATAAATACAGGTAGCTAATTGGATTTTTATGACATTGCTGTCACAGTCACGAATGGTTTATTTCAATTATGACTATCAATAGATATACTTTCTGTATTGTCAGTTAGTGTATTTATTAACCATAACAATGTGCCTTACTACCATTGATAATAACAATGCTGTGTACCTGCTAATATAGAGGTCATAAAAAACCAAATAGCTACTTGTATTTGTAATCCCTTGTGTATTATACACGTATATTAACACAAAAATTTGAAACTTTAAATGTTTATATCTAATAAACGAATAGTTATATTAAAAATTCATATACCATTTACTATTAAATTAAAAACTCAAACATTTTATTAAATTCAAAATATGTGTTCTCATTTAAAAAAACTCAAGTTAATGTTTTTTAACCTTGAAGGGATGAAATATATCATGTTTTTACTACATATTATTGTAGTGTTTTTTGAATCAATCAATATTTTCCTTACCAAAAATTTTAAATTTTCAATAAATACTGAGTAAACGAGTGTCTTATCTTTAATGAATCACTCTGTATATCAAACGTGTTTCTGTACTTACACATCTATCATATCCTTATATATAGTATAGTCACTCTTTAAGGAAGAGAAACATTTAGAGTACTTGTTCCATATACAAAATAGGCATATGAGCTGCTTTTAAGTGTCCTTTTGGATTATCATTTTTTAAGAAGTACTCTCCCCTATTCTTATTGAGTCACTATAAAGTATCCAACCGAATATATTTTTTAATATATTTATTGAATTAAATGTCCAAACATTTTATTAAATTAAAAATATGTGTTCCCATTTAAAAAAACAAAGTTGACACCCTTACCTGGCATAAGGGATGAACTTAAAAAGTATTACATAGTTAATAATTCAAGAATAATGTGTAACTATAAATATATATATATAAGCGGAGATAAGTAATTTTATCAAGAATATTACCACCAATTCATTCTTTAAATAACATATTTATATATATTAATTTTAAAAATATTCTGATTAATTTTTTAGTTATTTTCATAAGTTCTAATTAAATATTAAATTCAATTGATCTAATGAATAATTTTGAAGCCCAAAATAATAAAAAATAAACTAAATAAAAATTTTACCAATGATAACTAAATTTGAATTATTAGTATTAGTATAAGTTTTTTACTACGTAGTAGTATTTTTATTTATTGTCATGACTCACGTCATCAATAGTTTTAAAATATTGTAGAAAATATAATTACAAATTAGGGCAATACTTCCGTTGCTGTTAAACTTAACTATTAAATAAAAATATGCAATCACGCATTCATTTAAGCACATTTAATTTAATTATAAGTGGCCATCGTGATCAGTCGATTTCAGTACGCACATCAAGATTTAATTGTTAAACATCTCAGTACTCGATTGTCACTGTTTGACTTTCAACCTTATGTCAAGAATTAGTTTGTTCATTCTTGACACCTTTACTTACCTTGTTTTCTCTCCTTGCCTGACTTAAGTACTTGTGTCCTGCACCTCATCTAAACATTGTACTTTGTTATATCTTTCTCCGGATGCATTTACATTGTATTGTCTTACGACATTAGACATTATGGTATTATAAACAGCACTAAATTGCTTCTAACATTATTTTAATTCTTAAATTTGAACATCTCAAAAAGTGATAATACAAAACTAGTTATTGACATTTTAAAATTTTACTCAGTCTATTTTTCAGTGAATTGTATAAAATTAAGTTTATAACGTGAAAAAATGGTACCCCTCATTTTTTTATATTTTGTAAATATTTTATTTTAGTCGAGCCGATTGCGTATGCGACGGCGTTTATAATGATTGTTATCTGTAATAGTCTAACTGTAATAGTGATAAGGTGTTTTGTTTTGTTTTTGAGCTTGCGAGTTAGTCAGCTGTGTACCACTTCGGACCGACTTATAAAAGGCATTTGCACTACTCATCTTGCATTGTCGCCTGATAATAAATTTGAATTAAAAATGTTTTTTAAAAACTTCTGGTACTGTTTTTCATAATTTTACGAACCCGTACATTTAAAGGCTAACTGGAGCATCACTCCAAGAGCAGTGATTTTAGTCAGTCTCAGCCCTAAAAGTTGTTCATATATTTATATAAATAAATTTCAAAACAATCAGACGATTTTAACCCGTGGCTGATCGGGGTTGAAAAATGGATAATAGAGGTAGTTTTGGGTTATTTGCATATAACTTGTAAAAGAGCTATCATAGACAAAAAATATTGATATAAATGTTTTTTTATAAAATTAAGTTTATCTGAAAAATTAAAGGTTACGCAAAATGTTGTCAATTTTTCAAAATAGAAATATTTTCAAATTTTTTGCTAGGTTTAACAAACAATTAGAGTTACAAACAGATATTTCACATTAAAAAAGTTTATAAATTAATTATTTAAAAAAATGTAATAAGCAAAAATTTCATGTTTTTCTGTTTTTTTTAGAGCACTCAATAAATAGTATCAATGTAGCTCAGCAATTAATGAAAAGTATTTACGATAAATAGTACACATATTAATGTTTATAATAAAATAAAAAGCTATATAATTATTATTTTAAGAGAAATCCGAGTGGTTTGCATTTAAAAGAATCGCCTTATTTAAAAATTAGCGTGAATGTATATTTGCTTATCGATTTATCTAAAAATTACAGGAATAATAATTAAAATTATACACGTGTGAATAATTACCATAAAACATTTGTGGCTCATGGCTTTATCATAATGTGTTATGTAAAAGTTCACAAAATATGATAACATACTTTTTGGAAAAGATGAACAAATTCTAAGTACTATTAACATCTCATTACTAAAATATCTAAGTATTTGTAATCTAGGTAAGAAACACGTACTTTAGATGAACTTTTTATGAAATCATCTAACGAAGATAAATGATAATACTATTTTTATTAGAATATAAAACTAAATTTTTCCAAGACTGATTATAGCAAATGTGTATCGTTATTATGTGTCGGTTTATTTTCTTGTAACTGCTTTAAAGGTTAATTTTATGAAACATGAATGTTATTTTGTTAGAAATACTAATTGTTTTTATCAATCGGTGTCTATATTGAATTACTCAATGTAAATACTTAAGACTCCCATATATTTCCTTGTTCGGATAAAAAGGCGCATTTAGATATCACTGACTCTTATATCGCTAAAGACCGGCGGCATATATGCGCTTGATAAAAAAACATAGTCATCGCTACACATTTTGGCCCATTCGGGACGGAATATCTTTGAAATTTAGTAACATTATCTTGTTAAATTGAAGTTGTCGCTTAGTTTAAGCGCTTGTTATCAATCTCTTTTGGCAAGTGCTTATTTTCGCTGCTTAAAAAACATAGCGTTTAGTTTGCCTTAATCGTGATAACAGCAAGACAGTAATAATTCGCTTAATTAGAACGTCAACACAGTAGTGAATTAAGAATAGCCAGTGTAGTTACCTGCGCGAGCCGCTCGGGACAGAGTAGTGCGGTCGTTGCGGACGCGCTGTCCGAAGAGACGCGCACCGAAGTGTCTAAACTACATTTTTTCGTTACACGCGTGGGACACTGCAGACAAATGCATTTTGAAGCGCATCATTTTTCAACATTAGACGCGCTCGTCGATATCGAAAAGTACGCCATTATCGCCGAACAATTGTTCGTTACTATCAACAAAACCGGCTTCTCATATGGAGCAAGAGACGCAGTTTCTTGTCCGAAATTTGATCTGTCTAGACGGAAACATAACAGATTGTGCTCTTTTCGTGCGATCATCTGGTGTATTTTCTTGTTTGTCAAGCACTGCGCTGACAATTATAAGATCCGTGTCGCTATCGGCGGATATGAAAGCGAGATTCGCGTTAAAGACTCGCTACGAAAACAAGCGAATATTCGTCACTAAACATTTAGATAACATCTTGGCGTTCAGTCCGATTAAAAAGGAATCCATTTCGCTTTTTATAAATACACTCCGGGAAAGTGTTTCTTTGTGATATTTTTAATAGTTGTTTATTTAGTTGAAAAACTCAGAACTCAACACGTTAGTGGCTTAATTATGTTTTATATTTGTGCTCGTGCATTTAGCTCTGCGCCTGTGTTTGTTTGAGGCGAGTACGACACAATCGGATATGCCAAGTTTAGATGATCTACTAGACTTGGTGTCCAAGCGCATATATTTATATTAGAAAATACCGGTACCGTGAGAAAACAAAAACCCTCTCAGACAATTTGTGTGGCAACGAAAATTCGGATAAGAATCGATTCTGTGGCCGTTGTCTAGCAGCTACTGCGTCTGGCGCTACCATCAACACGTGGGTGTAATACATCACCGAGTCTGGACGAGACCCGGTCAGTCAACAACGTCGAACGGTTCGAAGTTGTTTCGCTTTAAAGAACTTGTTGATAAACGCATAAAAAGTGGTTGTGTCAAAACACTAGCAGTTGAAATCATTAGCACCCTCCTTTAATAACAAATTGCAGTATTATAAAAGTATAATACGTTAAAGAAGATATTTCATTAAAATTTAATGAATTTTTTAGTCTCTAAAATTCCTTAAATTTTTCCCACATAAATACAAAAAACATAATAGGTATAAAACAAAAAATGTTTAGTTATTTTATGAAATTTATAATATAGTATTTATTTAGGGTAAAACGAAAATGGAAAATATAAATTGTAGTTCTATGAAATTTATTTTAAGATTATTATAACTAATAGTGCTAGTTAAATATTTTGTAAAAAATAATAATTTTTTTTTTAGTTGAAAACATCAATATTTGGTTTAAATTGATTTCAGTAAAATAATATTTCAAAAGATCAACGCAATATTTAATATTTTAGAAGTATTTTGAAAACATTTTTTATGTTATAAAATTTGTTTAGGGAATTTTTTTATGCAAAAAAATAAATTAAAAAAAATTTATAATATTAGTAGTAATTTTTCTGATTTTTTATTTGATTCATAATTTTGTTTCTAAATAAACAGTTCCATAAATTATCATGTGTAATTAATTTTTTGAAGTTGAAACATTTAGAACAGCTCTAGATATTAATACTTATATTCTAAGGCCTAATAGAATATTTTTACAGTTGTCATCTGTGCTAGTAGTTGTGAATTATATATCGTAATTTCATCAAAACATGTATAACCAAGTATTATTAATTCTTTTATTTTTTTGTACTTACATCATATCAGTTAAAATATCAGAAATCAATGAACCGGTATTTATCATGAAAAAATTAATTTTATAATATTACATAGTGAACTACTTAATTATACGAAAAATAAAAATAATATTGAGATTTTTAGTTTTTTCAAAAGCCAAATATTTTCGTCTTTTATAAGTTACATATGTATATCAATTTATTTGTTATAAAATGATTTAGATCCATTCATTATATCTCTTCCCCTACTTTTTTTTAAAAACTTCACTTGCAACCAATCTTCCCTTAGAGATTTGTGATTTTTTAATCTCTGTATCTATGCTTTTATTTCATTTAATGTTAAATTGGAATTCATAACTGGAAAAGTATACGAAATTAAAAAATACTAATAAAAATTGTCTTAATACAATTATTATTGTAAGAGTAATACTCAGTCTTATATTAAAAGAAACACTCTGTATATAAAACTTAATAACTTTTTATGATTTCTCTGTAAAATTTACAATGTTAAATTATTCAAATCAAATTTAATACTAAATATAATTGTTATATTAAGCATTCTTTCATGTATTAGTTTATTAATCATTAAACTTGTAATTAAGATATAAGTAAAGAAATAGGAGTCCATGTTGCTTTTGGTATAATATAATAATTCTTTATAAAAATTAAACACTATCTACAAATTTGTATCAAAGCGTTATTTATGATAGTGATTATAATCACTGTCAGGTATCATATTACTTGTCCCAACTATGCCACGTCTACACTGTGCTAGGTTTTTAAATATTATCTCATATTATTTTATAGAGTTATCTACGTAATAACAGGATAAATTCTAGTGTCAAAAATAGGTATTGCTTTGCAATTCTATACTTAAATTTAAAAATTCTAAAAAAATAATTTCTCGAAATATAACTGTATTCATTATTAGCCAAATTTTTTTTTATTTTGTTTAGGTCGAAAATATGTGTATAACTCAAATTGAGGCAAAAAAAATTATTAAAATGTATGGCAAGGAAGACACAACATTTGATTTCGAATCATTCAAACAAATTTTAAGTAAAATGAATGTTAATTATGACGACGAGTCTTTGCAACAAGTATTTAATGATATCGATGAAGATAGTAAATATTTAAAAATATTATTTGTACATTATGAAGTAGCTTAAAAAATACCTCTTAAATAATTAAAAAAATATATTCAGTGGTATACTTTATAGTAACTCAATAAGAATAGGGGAGAGTACTTCTTAAAAAATGATAATCCAAAAGGACACTTAAAAGCAACTCATATGCCTATCTTCTATACGGTACAAGTACTCTAAATATGTTTCTCTTTCTTAAAGAATGACTATACTATATATAAAGATATGATAGATGTGTAATGTCATTGACAATAATAGAATTAAAATGAAAGGACCTAGGGGATGTGTAAGTACAGAAACACGTTTTATATACAGAGTGATTCATTAAGGAAAAGACACTCGTTTACTCAGTATTTATTGAAAATTTAAAATTTTTGGTAAGGAAAATATTGTTTGATTCAAAAAACACTACAATAATATGTAGTAAAAACATGATATATTTCATCCCTTCAAGGTTAAAAAACATTAACTTGAGTTTTAGCTTCGATGCGAAGCTGAGAAGGTATTGGTTTTACTAAGATGTGTTTTTTTTTTTTTTTTTATGTCTGTTACCACTTTTTCTCAGCTCTCACCGAACCGATTTCTTTCAATGATATGTCAAAAGATCACAAATCGTATCTAGTCGAAGACATTACCCTCAAAAATTGAAAAAAATTCCCTCGTTCCCCGTAAANAATTAGGATATTAATAATGAACTAGCAGATCATGTAGCTTTTGGAATAATCCACCAATTTTTTAAGATTAAACACTATCTAAAGATTTGCATCGAAGCGTTTTTTTTGTGTTAGTGATTTTAATCACTGTCAGATATCATTATACTTGATCCATCTATGCCACGTCACCACTGTGCTGGGTTTTTTTTTTAAATGAGAATACATATTTTGAATTTAATAAAATGTTTGAGTTTTCAATTTAATAGCAAATGGTATATAAATTTTTAATATAACTATTTGTTTATTAGATATAAACATTAAAATTTTAAATTTTTGTGTTAATATACTTGTATAATACACAAGGGATTACAAATACAAGTAGCTATTTGGTTTTTTATGACCTCTATATTAGCAGGTACACAGCATTGTTATTATCAATGGTAGTAAGGCACATTGTTGTGGTTAATAAATAAACTAACTGACAATACAGAAAGTATATCTATTGATAATCATAATTAATAATAAACAATCCGTTACTGTAACAGCAATGTTATAAAAAACCAATTAGCTATCTGTATTTATAATCCCTTGTGTATTATACATGAATATTAACTCAAAAATTTGAAACTTTCAATGTTAATATCTAATAAACAAATAAAGATATACTAAATATTCAAATGCCATTTACTATTATATTAAAAACTCAAACATTTTATTAAATTCAAAATATGTGTTCTCATTTAAAAAAACTCAAGTTAATGTTTTTTAACCTTGAAGGGATGAAAAATATCATGTTTTTACTACATATTATTGTAGTGTTTTTTGAATCAAACAATATTTTCCTTACCGAAAATTTTTAATTTTCAATAAATACTGAGTAAACGAGTGTCTTTTCCTTAATGAATCAACTTGTATATGAATGTAGAATTGAATAGGAACAAATGTTAATTGCCTGGGTTCTACATACAAATAATGTATGACTAGATTTGTACAAACACTAGTCTGTAAGATTTGTGAAACTCGTGTTTTTTCTATGTAGCCATTTAGTCAATTCATTTCCGACTACCTCCATTACTCTAATTGTTTATTACTTAAAATCCTTCGGTTATAGATTTAATATACAAATAAATAGTTTCATTTATTTCTAATTATCCTAGTGAAATAAATATTCGGTTGCGAGGACTTTTGCAATTAATGTTATTTTATTAAAGCTTGTGATTATCCATTTATGAACTTATAACTACGCGACTTTTATTAATATAATATTTCGCGTATAATTAAATATTTTTCCAGTACAAATCTATATTATTCGCGACCGACCAATTAAATATAATCTCAAATTGGATCTTTCTATATTCTGCCATCAGAAATACCACTCGAAGACCGGGTCTTTAAGATCCGAGGTAGAGCGTTATTGTCTAATATGGACATTTATGGCGCGATTGGTGACGACTCATATTTTTTATCGGTTACACTCGAAATTTATCACAAGAAATCAATCATCATTTTTCCTTAAAAACCATAGAAAATGAAAAATTTTCACAAAGAAAAATATTTTTTGATTCAAAAAAATCTACAATAATATGCAGTAATATATATATTTTTTCATCCCTTCAGGAATAAAAATCTGAATTTTAGTTTTCTTTAACTCTTTTATTATGTATCGCGCATGTATATATTACTATCGAGAAGGGCGATATCAATATTGTTAAAACTCATTCTGGGCTTACAACACAGCAAATAACTTAAAAAATAAGTCTATCTATATTCAAAATATAATTTGCGTTTCTTTAAATGCAATGCCTTGGCTGTTGCGGATTTGGTGGCTTCATTGATATATAATAAATATTATTTTAAAACACCTCTTACTCTCCTATACGCCAACTGCCTACACGTGTTCAATAAATTATTGGTATAGTACTTTATTGTGGCATAACAATATTTGACTTTCTTAGAAAACACAACCTAGTCTTAAATAAATAAAATTACATTTCTTCACTTCTTTTGACATATTTAAGGCTGTCCAGAAATTAAGGGTACAATATTATTTGAATCTTCTAATTGATAGATACAATTATGAATAAAATATTACTTAAATTCAATGAAAATGTTTGGGTTAAATTGAAATAAATTTTATGGATAAAATATTAATAAATCATCTAAAAACAATGTACACCATTTAGGGTAATAAATACATATAAAAAAATGGTGTTGAGATAAAATATCTACTTGTACTGAAGCAGATTTCATATAAAGAATATCGACCAAGAGTATCAAAAATCCCCCCCTACAAAAATCCAATTCCCTAAAAGTGAGGAAAATGGCTTTTTTATAGCCTTGAGGGAATAAACCAGCAATTTCTAGCGAAATTTCTGAGAAGCTGTGATTAGTTAATTGTGATAGAAACCTTGGTGTGGGAATTATTAATAAATTGTAAGAGACTGGTGTAAAATGTGTGTTAATAAATGATTATTTTAAATACCCTACATTTTTCGAATAACAGTTTTTGTTTTTGATAGGTAATAATGTAATAGAGTTCAATGAATTTATGAAATTCATAACAAGTTATATTAATAATCCACCAGAAGGAACTTTGAAAGAAGTATTTGATATCTATGACATAGATAAAAATGAGAAAATCGATGCTGAAGAACTGTATACAACGTTAACCAAGCTGGGCTATGACACAACCTTAGAACAATGTCAAAACAGCTTGAAAGTTTTTGATAAAAATGGTGATGGAGTTCTTGATAAGAAAGGTGAGTCGAACAAATTATTATTATTATTATCCTATGAATTAAAAACAATTAAAATGCACTTAATATTTTGACACGACTTACGTCGCAAAAATGTGGTCGACACTGGTTTTGAGGGTAGAGACCCGTGGGCCGTTTATTAAATGAGCGACAACAGATTATTTTAACAAAAATAAAACAAACCGAAAAGACAAACACAGTAATAATAATCTTCGCATAATATCGCGGCACTTTCGCTGGCGTCGACGACGCGATGTCCGGCGTAATCCTTGGACGGCTACAGGTTAGCGACGGTGCGCTAGTGTAGATCGGTTGGTCGACGTTGTCGCTTTCACAACGGGAGGAAGACTCTGGCACCATTTGCGGCGGGTCGTCGTCGGCCGTGCGGCATTTGCTGGACTTTGCACCGTAGCGTATAACACGCGGTGTTGATCAGTCAAATATTCATAGTAAGGCGACGGCTGATAAAAGTGGCACGAGTCGCGGGGCATCGTGTACAACGAAGCGACGCGGGCCGTGTCAATTTAATACTTAAGCGTAAAATTTAAATATTTTTATGAAAACGACAAAGAAATGATACACAAAAATGACAATATACTATTTATTTTAAAAATTATAAAAAGAAATTGTTCTATTATACTGTTAGTTTTAGAACAGCGGCTACATATACTTTTACCCCTAAATCAATGTAATTAGAAGGGTAAAAGGATTTCTAAAAAGAAATCACGTTAACGTTAAAATCGTCAAAAAACGACTTTATCTATTCGTTATAAAAATCATCCAAATCGTTCAAATAATAATTATTACCCGAAATCTTCTATAATATTTTTTTTTTGTGTGTGCAGCGTTCAGTACTCAATTATACATACATTTACTACCCTAAACATCTCAGTGATAACACTATTTTTGCCTACAGGCTATGTAAAATTATATCTATTAAAGAGGGTTAATTGGGAGTACTTACTCTCGACCTCTTATATTACTATAGTGTTTTACATAAATTGTAGTTATAAAGAAATGAGAAAAAAAATTGAAATAGACAAATTATCAAACTTTAATCCTCTACCAAGATTCAATTAAAATTTTTTTTTCCTCTTAATTAAAAAAAAAAAAAATCTGTACTTAAAATTTACAAAAAGTTTTTTTCGTAGACTTATTCAATTACATGACATTAATAGCATTAAAAGGAAGTCACCCATTGGTAATACCTCGATTAGTTTTAGTTGAAGCTGTATACAAATTAAGGATTTATTGTGTGTCGTTAATTTGTTAAGTCAATAGGTCTCGATTCCATTTACGTTTGAGTCTTCGTGGTGGGTTGTCAGGTATTGAAGTTGTGTACATTTTTTTAATTAAAGGGTTTGAATTTGTATTAAGTTCTGAGTGAAATCTAGTATAGTGTAAAATTGCAAATTCTTTGACAGTTTTAATGTTTAAATATTTGTGTAGGTTATTATTTGTTACATACCACGGCGTACCACTTAACACTCGTAATTTTATATTTTGTAAGGTATTTGTATTGGTCGAATTTTAGATGGTTTAGCTGGTCCCCATATCTGAATATCATATCAATAATCAGACTGGTCTGATTATTGACTGATAAATAAGTAATTATGTTTCGAGAGGTAATTTAGATTGTAGTAATGGATGAAAAAGATGAAGTTTGCTGTTGGCTTTTTTCCTTTTGTCTTTCAGGTGAAGTCCCCACATTTGTCGTTTGTCCAAAATTATGCCTAGGTACTTAGTTTCATTGAATTAAAATTTTAAAATAAATTTTAGTTTTTCAACATTATTTCATTAATAGAAACGCCTATATAGCAAGAAACCAAAGATTTTTTTTCGAAAGTTCTAAATAAAAAACGCTATATGACAAAAAATAATTTATATATTTAACGAACTAAATAAAATTATAATGATTTACAAACTTATAATTGTTGATAAATTAAAAAATTAATTTAAAATTTCACGGGTATTGCTTGGATAATTTTTCCGATATTCTTAAATGAACTAAAAACATTATGTATTTGTCATTACTAAATAAAGTATAATTTTTTTCATGACTGTCTTACTTGTAAAATGTGTATTGTATTTGTTCTTCGTATTTCGGAAATATTTTGTTTAAATCCTCCATCAATTTCATTCTCGTTTAGCAGTATTATATAGAAATTATAGAGCATTAAAATGTATGGACTAAAATAATTGTGTAATTAAAAAAAATGATAATACATAAGGTAGAATTCTGTTATAAAATAATAAAAGTAAAAGGGAGACTAGACTATTATGTTATAATAAATAAATAAATACTTAAATGAAATAAATAAAGCGACGTTTATATGTTATTATCATTTAAAGATTATGTTATGTACTATAACTTAAAAATAAAAGTTGTCTCGATGAACTATTTTCTATGCGTGAATGGCTTTCGTAAATTACTAAAACATACTATCTTTTTGCAAAATTTTCGATTTTGTATTTTTAACTTTAAATTTGTATAACTTTTTAAAAAATGAATAGATCAATTCATTTTTTTGTTTATACAAATGTTATACACACCCCTTTCTTACGACATACTTTTTTAGCAATCAGATTATTTTCTCTTATACAGGGGGGTTAGTATATTAAATATATATCATAAATTTTATGATCTGTCAAAATCTTGAAATTGCAAAATACCTGTATTTCGTAAAAACATCCCTAAAAACTTATGTATTTATACTAAAAACTCGCAAGTAGAATATAACAAATATTATCATGTTTAGTTTGTCTCATTCTACATTTTGAATTTAATACAGCGTGATTTACCATTGTTATTTTCATAACTCTTTATTTAAACATATTATCTTTAATGTTTTAGTAATTAAATCTTTTTTATATTTCGAATAATGAATTGTTCAATAGGGACATTTAAAAATATATCATAGCATAGTTAAAAAAGAAGGAATTTTACCTCAACACCGAAAAAAAATTCAATGTTATTAGTAATGAACTAGTTGAGCTCGTTTTAAAATTCTTTTTCGTCACATTGAAAATCATTAATATTTTTCAGACAAACGCGACCATTAGGGAACAAATCAATAAATTTATCAATACTCTGTATACAACAACTTTACAACATTTAACAATTTTCCCGTAAAAAAATTACATTACTAAATTATGGAATATCAATTGCATACTAAATTTAATTATTATAATAAGTATTTATTCATGTATTATACTTAAAAATCATAAAACTCGTAATCAGGATATATATAAATCAAGTATCACATCATCAATTTTTCTAGATGATCTCTCTGCTTATAATTTAAATCGAACGAATTATTTATTTGTTAAATATTTCAGTTTATTCTAATACTAATATTTATACTAAATATGATAAGATGTCTAGTTTTACCTTTAATCTCGATATTAATGTTATGTCTTTCTCTGAAAATTAAATTTTAGATTATCTTACTGTTTCAATACTGATTCAGTTATAGGATTTGATAATATACCACCAGCACAAAAAATCTTACAAAAATATTACCATACACTCACCAAAAATGTTCATTAATTTTTAATTTGTCCCTCTCCATTCATATTTTTCCAAAAATTTTGAAAAAATCTTAGCTTATTAATTAATGGCATTCGATAACTTACAATTTTCGCAAATTAAAAAAAACAATTATTTCTGATGATATATTTGTAGTCATAAAATATAAATAATTAAAAGAAAAAGTGACACATCATTGTACTTCATAAGTGATTTGATTTGTCAAAATATTGTGGACTGCTCTATATTCTCCACAAAGCGCGATGTATAAATTGTTATGCTTTAATACTATGAATTACAAAAAAAGGTTACAGAAAAATAAATATAAACATTTTTTTTTATTCCAGAATTTGAGGAATTTATGATAACAAAACCGCCAAAACATGATTGAACATTTTCAGAAAATATCTAATCATCTTTAACAATATTTTGTTAATATAATTAAATACTAACTAAAATAAAATAAAAATAATCTTTTCTATGCAGTATACAAATTTACTTATCAAACCACAAATAAACTAAAAATGAATTGAGTAATTTTAATTATGATTCATTATATACAAATATATGTTAATATGCAGATTAATCAAAATCTGGTAAGACACTCATTTTCTCATAATCTATTGAGAATTTTAAATTTTTGATAAGAAAAAATAATTTATTTCGAAAGGGACAATATTTTTTTATAATTATTATCTCTCATTTAGATGACCAGCGTAGAAAATTTCTTTGTATACTACCATTATAAATAATTTATGGTCTATCATAATAAATTATTGTCGCTAATTTGTCAGCCATAATATCAATTGCACTGCCACCGATATTATAAACCAAATCAATGATGAATTTTCCTTGATATCCACATCTTTAAATAGTGTTTAAAACGAAAACTGTTAGAAAAAAGTTAAATTTATCAGTTCCCATTTAATAAAATTATAAATAAGAATTTTAACCTTGGAGGTACGAAAAAAAAAAAAACCCAGCACAGGGGGGGCGCGGCACAGTGGTGACGTGGCATAGATGGATCAAGTATAATGATATCTGACAGTGATTAAAATCACTATCAAAAAAAAACGCTTCGATGCAAATCTTTAGATAGTGTTTAATTTTAAAAAATTG